TCAATTTCAAAAAATAACAAAAACTTTTAAAGTATTATATTTTAATACAATTGAAAAAAATAAAATTCATTATAAAAACATTTTTTACAATAGAAATAACAAAACGTTAACAATTAAAAATGCTCACTAGCATTAGTTCAGGTAAATCAACAATTTAATTATCATTAAAGCGCACAAGTCACAACAATTTTTGTATTGAAGCACAGAAAGCCACAGTAAATGAGAACGAAATAACAATATGCACTCTGCAATTATTGTCACATTAGTAAATACAAACTACAATAGAATAAACTAAATAAAAGCAGAGGAAGCAGAAGAAGGTAATTATTACCACCTTCATTATACATCAATAGAATGGTCTTTTTATTAATAAGAGTAACAACGTCTTTTAATATAAAATTGACCATTTAATTGTTGTAGGTTGATATGTACTTACACATGTACTTACTTACAGAGGTACTTAGATATGGGAAATAAACAATATAATATTGTATATTTCTTGTATATATAAATGTCATTATTATTTATTTTATTCACACTTTAACTACAAGTACAATGTGTAGGAGTTATAAAGCATGTTAAGCTCATACGTAATTAGCAAGTATTAGACGTATTTATTAAATTATTTTAATATTATCTGTCGTAATTTGCATAACAAAAATAACATCGTAGCTATTTATTACCTCAATTCATGACAAAGAACGTCTCGCAAATGTCAATGTCATTTGACGTAATAAAAAGGTTTGAACTTGAAGTCGACACTTAGGAAAACCTTTCGATAAAAAATTCCCATTAAAGTTCAAAAGTGTGTTGAACTTTACACATCGCATTTGAATATTGTGTAGTTTGTCGGTAATGTCAGTAATGTTAGTACAAACATAATAAACTGCTATTCATGGTAAAGCTGTGTTGAACTTTTTCGCACAGTTAGCAATATTAACAAACAAATTAATTTACTTGAAGTAAATTTTGATAATTAACATATCTTAATTACCTTTAGAATAGTTGTAGTTTTTTTTTAATACAATCCTTTATACTTTATTTTTAACACTTTATTATGCATGGCCTATCAACTTCATTACACAAAAAAAACAAAGTAATATGCTATATTCTTATTTATTTATTTAAAGTAAACAATTTTAATTTGTTGTTAAATATATAACTAAAGACTGTTCAAATGCTTTGACCTTTTCCACTTATTATATGATAAATAGAAGTCTTAATATATGCAATGTATATGCAAAAATTATAATTGTTATATTATAATTGAAAGAAAAAAATTGCAAAGAAGCTTATAAATAGCTTTAACTTATTTTAAAATTTTAATTGAAGTATTGAAAAAAAAATTGAAACAAGTATAATGATTCGGTTGTAATTTGCCTTACATGTATGTATGGAATTGAAAGCTAAATAAAATCAAGTTTTTCGGTTAAACTTATTATCCCAGTTTGCACCATATCTGTTTTTATTAGATCCTGTAAACTATTTATAAACTACAACTAACTTATTTTAAGCAGTTTGTATGGCTACATCTGCAGTCGTTTGAGATTTGTACTAGAAATACTACGTCAATCCTTGTCTACGACACCGAATGTTGATGTTTATGTACTTAAAATAAATAAAGTTGAATATATATTTAAACATGTAACTTTAGTTCCGTTAACTTATTATTTCGTACTTGAAATCAACTATCAGTTCACAAACTGCTTTCTAAAACGGAGCTGTCCAATCCAATACGATCGCGAGAATACAAGGTAGAATACAGGGTCAGGGACAAGTGCATACATCCATGTGTTTTTTTTTGGAGACAATAAGAATACAGCTATAATGTAAAATTTGATAATGTTAAATTTATTTATTTTTTTATTTCAATTTTTTGGAATGTCATATTGTAAATTTTATCAAAATATATCAAGAGAAAATTAGCGTAATTGTAGTACATATATTATCCGTGGCCCGCACATACATTATCCGCGGCCCGCACATACATTATTCGCGGGCCGCATGTGACCCGTGAGTCGTGCTTTGGATAGCCCTTCTCTATATTATCACCACAACAATAATAGCAAAATGATTACTGTTCAACATAATCGATCTAATAGATTATGATAGATTATAGAATATCTATAGTGAGTATTCTTTGATTGTTATATGTTATTCATTATATTAAATCAGCTGATAATAGATTCACAATTTTTTTTCAAATGTACTTTACAATTAATAAAGTATACAGCTTTCGTCGTTATAACAATGAATTTTAATAAATTAATATATGTCGCAAGATAATTATTATAAATGTATTGTAATACAGCGTTGATTACAATTAATAATACCCAATTACATATTGTAAAGGTTGAAATAATCATTAATTTATGTCCTAAGTAACAAATTAGTGTTACTAACAAATGTTATGATAACATTAATAAATTATATTATTTATCAGTGGTCAGTAATTTGCTATAATTAATCACATAAATTGGTTATAATATTATTAACAAAAGTTTAAAAAAATACCCACAATGGGTATAATAAATAAATATAAAAATATATAAAAGACTTGCAATAAATCAAAATCAATGTTCTTTGCGGTTTATTAAAGTTTTAATTAAAAAAAGAAAAACAATTTTAATAAATTATTTAAACTCCTATATTTGTGCATATAAATTTTTATACCTTTTTTCTTACGGAGTGAGTCCAAATTCAGATCATAGTCTGTTTTGTGTAATCAAAATTAAATATTTTAATAAAAATTAAATAGTTTTTACATTAAGACCGAAAAGTTTTCGGAAATTCTCATTTAAAATTCGCGCGCTGTATATTTTTCGATATTTTAAGTTTATGTAGTTTGGCAGCACTGTCCTTAATTACTATGCCAAAAATGAGCGCGATCTGTCAGACAGTTCGTTTACGGCAGCTGTTGAAACCAGTTCACCTCAGTAGGGCGTTGCGAAAAAAACAATGGAAAAAAATATTGAACAAAGAGTTTGCATCAAATTTTGTGTTTCGAACGAAATTTCGTGTGCAGAATCGTTGCGAATGCTACAAAAGGCTTATGGGGAATCAGTTTTATCGAAAACTCAAGTTTATGAGTGGTACAAAGCCTTCCAGGACGGTCGTACGACCGTCGAAGACATTTCGCAACGCACTACTGAGGTGAACTGGTTTCAACAGCTGCCGTAAACGAACTGTCTGACAGATCGAGCTCATTTTTGGCATAGTAATTAAGGACAGTGCTGCCAAACTACATAAACTTAAAATATCGAAAAATATACAGCGCGCGAATTTTAAATGAGAATTTCCGAAAACTTTTCAGTCTT